GTGGGAGCAGAGTCAATCTTGAGTCATTTGTGGAGACATTTTTTGCTATACTCCCTAGAACATCCAGTATTAGCTGTATTTACATGACTTCATATTTTTGTTTCCTTGAATTATGACAAATATTAAAGGAACTTTGCATTTTGGTTGACCTTCTTTCTTGATAGCTTATGGTGTAATTAAAAAATCAGTTTTAGGTTCTTGGGAGTGAGGCTGATGTTGGTCTTCCTATAATGAATTAATGCATTGTTATACTTGTAAAAATTAAACTTTTTGTGATTATCCTTGCTGTGTGTGTTGGGTTAAGCAGTTAATGCTCATCAGCCTACCACAGAATCACAGAATTTCTAGGTTGGAAGAGACCTTCAAGATCATCGAGTCCAACCCATGTTCTAACACCTCAACTAGATCATGGCACCAAGTGCCACATCCAGTGTTTTTTTAAACACATCAAGTGATGGTGACTCCACCACCTCCCTGGGTAGATGATTCCAGTATTTGACCACTCTTTCTGTGAAAAACTTCCTCCTTAATTCTAGCCTGTATCTCCCTTGGCACAGTTTGAGACTGTGTCCTCTTGTTCTGTCTGTTGTTGCCCGGAGAAAGAGACCGACCCCCAGCTCACCACAGTCACCCTTCAGGAAGTTGAAGAGAGTGATAAGGTCACCTCTGAGTCTCCTTTTCTCCAGGCTGAACAACCACAGCTCCCTTAGTCGTTCTTCATGTGGCTTGTGTTCCAAACCACTCACCAGCCTCGTGTATGGCTTGGTGTGAGACATCACAGAGCAAGCTGAACATGCTGTCAACAGGGGGAAGGAACAGTGTGTGCATGAGTGGAGGGGACTTGCAAGCTATCACTGCCCAGCATCAGTGTGTGCAGGTCCTGTACAAGGCACGAGTGGGATGAGAGTGGACAAAGGCACACACCTGCTCTGAGTATTTAGGCTGTGGGCTGACCAGCCCTCTCCTCCCCCTCTCCAAACCCTTCTGCTGTCTAGCAAGAGTCTCTTGCGGGTGGTACACGTTATGCTCAGCAAAACATGACTCTTGTAAATACAATTTGAAAATAAGATTTTATCAGGCATGCATCCAGTATCAGCTTTTCCTCCAAAATGGAACAATATATAGGATTCTGGTTTATTTTTATTTTTTGCTTTGAACTGATCATTAACAGTATACAATTGCCAGCAAGATACAAATGAAACTACCTTCCTTTGTTTTTAACTTGGGAAGTGTTTAATCTTGGAAGGCAATGTAGTATAGTGTGCATATGTGGCTTGAGAATATTGGAAATTTTAGTTACTATACAAATAGCCCTAATGACCTTTTCTGATTGCTTTTTCTGCCTGTGAATGCGTAATTATTTGCATACAATGTTTCATATTAAAAATATGACACAACAGCTTAACTGCAGGAAGACTGGTAGAGGAGGTTGAAGTTGCATGCTTATTCTAGTCATTGTTGCCTAAATATCACACTACATTTAATATACAATGTCATGTACATACTGATGTGAGCATAATGTACTGCTAGTAGCTCAGCAGAATGAGAACTTAGTACTGATGAAATGTCAGTCTTAATTTTTTTATTACCTTAGCTGTGGGCATTTTATGTCAAAACCAGAGCTGACCAAATAGTGCAACATGCTATGCATGAAAACACTTTCATTTATTTAATATCTTGCAGATGTACAAGTGGTCTTTTAATATAGTCTTTCTGTGATGTTAGTGGCCGTGAAAACTAGGATTTAATCAGATTTAACACCTTTATACACTGGCTAAAAATATAGTCAGAAAATGAGTGGATAATTAAACTGGTTACATTGGATAAGGAATCTTAAATTTTGTGCTTAGCAAAGGAAGAAATGAAACTCACCATTGCAGGGTCTTTGATCAAACTTTTTAGCGTATCTTAAATACCTATTAAAACTACGATTCTGCTGATAAGTTAAACCATGTATGGATTGAAATATTTTTCCATAAGTTATGGTTTAGAACCTTATGGCTTTTCACAGAGAGTTCATGGCTGAGGAAAGGGGAACTGAGCTCAAGGAAAATTGATTGCTGGGAATATCTGTGTGCCTTAGCCATATCTCCTCACAGTAATTGAGGAAGGTCGGCTCTTTTTGGCAGAAATAAAGGGCACAGCTCTCCGGTTGGGTTGGAATGGTCAAGGCAAGGGGAGTGTGGAGGGACATCACCATGCTGCCTCACCTGGCTTTGGGTCTGAGCTGGAAGCCACAAAATGCATCTGAGATTGGGCCACCTGCATTGGAGCACACTGACAGGGCCAGGCAGGAGGAAAGCTGCTGTGGTGGGTACCTGGTGAGGCTCAACTTCCTGCAATTCTGCCTCTAATCCAGGCTCTGAACATCTAAGCCATCACCTGGCTGGGCAGAAGCTGAGTTTTTATGTTGTTTTAAGCCAGAAAAAACTTCTGAGAGGGTGATTTTCTTTAGGGTACTTTTTCATGCATCTCCTTTTATTTTCCATGCCTCATGTAAGAGGTTTTTCATTTTTGGCAGGCTGTCTTCTCAGGGCACTCTGAAACTGGATTATTTACTACAGGTGGACCCAGATTGCTAGGGTAAAAAAAGTCAGCAACATATACTTCCTTGAAGGATTTAAATTATGTTTTAAAACTCACTGAAAGAAAAGTATTGTTGATATGTGTGGTATTTTATATGAGAATGGCAACCAAAACATTAATAATGGCTTTGTTCTATCTTTTTTAGCTATCAATGGCAATTTTTAAACTGTAAAAGTTTCAGGCTGCTTTATATACAAAAGGAAATTGTGATTTCAAATTATAATTGGAGATGTGGTTATAGAATAATGAATGGGAATAATTAATAGAAAGCTAATTGGGTAACATCAGAAAAGTTTATCCTGGTATATTGGGATTGCATGCTTCAGTTGATACTTAGTGTACTTTTGGGATTTCTGCTCGCACCTCACCTCTGGTTCTGATAGTATATTATATTATGAAGAATATTAATAATGCTGCAGAACAATTACTTGTTCATTTGCTAACTGATTAAAATTCATGCATAATTTATTGGAACTGGGAGAGACTTTATAAATAAGTCTCCTTGGCCTCAAGAGCTTAAAAACAAAATGCGTATGCTAATATAAGAATGTGCTTTACTTCTTAACATAAAAACTTAATAGGCAATGCCCTCATTAATGTGAGGTTTTATTTGTGATAATCCAGCTCTTAATCAAAGTGTATACTTCTAAACATAGCCATATGTTTTAGAAGTTTATAACTTGGAGTTGGTAGTGCATCGTGCTCATCAATGATGATGTTTTCTGCTGTAATATACACTGACCTTAGAATATATTAGTTGGACATTTAATATGTTAGCTCCACAGCAAATAAACTGCCCTCATTATGGCCAGTTGCATTTCTGAGCTTTGATGCAGGTAGGAATCTAAATTAATTCATAAGCACATACATTTCCAAAGAAGGGTAAAAGGTTAATAATTAATTGATGTACTTTTTATAGTTTTATATATCCTAAAGCAGAAATGGAAACACCTTGGAGCACTCACCTTTCACTCAGGGAGGAAAAAATCAGGTCCCATTACAGCCACTATGGCATGGCTACAGACTCCCTGGTCTCCAAACTGAGTGGTTTGAGAAGCAGCTAATTTAGAAAAAGGTCCTCAAGATATGTGCCAAAATCTGGGAAACTTGGTTGTTTATAGAGCTGGTAAATATAGTGCTTGGAGCAAGCTGTGATACCTGGAAAGGAAGCAGGCAGAACCAGGGGCTGAACTTCATCATGCAGGGAGGATAGGATGTCAAAGGAGGTCCACCACTCCCCACCATGCGTTCTGTCACTGACACCGGTGGCATCATCCCTGGGAGGCAGAATACGTGCAATGCATTTTTGTCTTAACTTCTGTTGTGTAGAATGTAAGGGTCCCCTGCTAGGGAAATCTTATGGTCTGGGGTTAAAAGTTATTTTTAATGTACTGGCCATGAGATCTCCTCTACCTGCTCAGAGTTGCTGATTTGTTAGTTCTGCATCACTGCTATGTGAAACCCCTGTGTGCACTGAATTTAGCATTGTTGCCTAATTAACTGAAACAAATTAGCTGAAATATGAGCCATCTGGAATGAAAATGAACCTTCCGTGTTTAGCAGTGAATTCATTTTATTAGAAAAATACTTGTTGCTTGTGATTGTTTCTTAAAATAAATCATGCTGAGGCAATCTTTCTATGTTAACATTTCTCAGGGTAGGGGGGACCACCTCTTTCTGTTTGGTCTGTCATTACCTTTTTCACTTTGCAGCTGCATTGAAATATGTAGGCAGGCAGAAGCTGATGAGAAGAGGGGATGACAAAAAGGCAACACACATCCTATTGTTCGAGTTTCAAAATCAGTAGTAACTTACTAAAGAATAGAATATTATATGTTGTTGCCATATGTCTTTATTATGTCATTCTCCTGGCAGCTTTGCTCAGTTCTGAGTATTCTGAATGCCTGTAATAAGCATCTGTATCCTTTTCCCTAACTGCATCCAGTGGGTTTCAGATTAACTGCAGTGATATTAATTTTTAAGAATATTCTGTGCAGGGGTAGTGTATCATTTCTTGCAGCTCTTTCTATAAGGAAAGTGTAAATGTGGCTTCAGTCAATAAAAGAAAGTTTCAAGTTATTGGTATAGTAAATTATATAAATGAGCATAGTTTTTCTCAGGAAAAAAAAAATCCCAAGCAGCAGCAACATATAAATCAGACATGATTTTGTGGTCTCTAGCTGAGATTTTTAGAAGGAAAATACAGCATTGAGCAGATACCAGTAGTATGCCACTCATTTCCATCAGCTGAAATTCTCCTCAGCACTTCTTCACTCATGTCAGTTTGGATTTCTTTCTGTGCTTTGGAATGTTTGCTGACCAAACTCTGACAACTCCCTGTGTAGAGACCCCTCCTCTTAGTGGTTTTTCCAGCTTTTGTTTTATTGCTGCCTTATTTTTTGTCTCCCCTGCAGAGCCACCTCGGCCAATAGCACCCCCGCAGCTGCTGGGCGTTGGGCCCACGTACTTGCTCATCCAACTGAATGCCAACTCCATCATTGGGGATGGCCCCATTATCCTGAAAGAAGTGGAGTACAGGATGACATCTGGGACTTGGACCGAGACCCACGCTGTCAATGCACCAACATACAAGCTGTGGCACCTGGACCCTGACACTGAATATGAGATTCGGGTCCTGCTCACCCGCCCGGGGGAAGGTGGCACGGGGCAGCCAGGACCACCACTCATCACCAGGACCAAGTGTGCTGGTGAGTGTTGCTATGGAAAAATTAACAATAAACCCAAAGCTGTTTACTTTATGGTTTAATTGATTGGCAGGCCTGTTGGCTCCAATTAACTTGTATCAGGACTTAAGGATTCCCTTCACACCCACAGGATCCCCAAGTTTCTGGATCATTTGCTGAGTCCTCTACTTTGTCTGGTCATTGTTCTAGGTTGCTAACCCTTGGAGGGTAGATTAGGAAGAGAAAAGTTAGAAATTTAAGAAAACATTTTGCTTCTCATCACATAAGGAAAGGGACCTCTTGATTTCTGGAAAGTCCTGACCTCCTTGTTTCTTTACCTTCGTATTTTCAATTACATTTTAAGTAAACTTGCACATAAGGCAAATTGCATGGGAAAAGGGTTATGTATTAGAAATAGATTTGTGGAGGGAAAAAAAAGAAACTAGTGTACTTCTGCATCATTTGTCTTTTCCCAAGCAGTTACGTACAGCCTGACAGAATCTCCAAGAACTAAAATACAAATACTAAAATCTCTAGCTGTGACTGCTCCCCAGGGAAGTGGTCACAGCAGCAAGCTTGCCAGAGTCCAAGAAGTGTTTGTACAATGCTCTCAGGCTCATGGTGACTCTTGGGGCTCTCCTGTGCAGGACTGGGAGTAGGACCAGGTTATTATGAGACCCTTCCAACTCAGGCTATTCTATGATTCTGTAAATTGTAGAATACAATTGAAAATACAAATAGAGCGTTTTCTCCATTTTTGACTTCTGTTACCAAAATCATGTGCAGCTGAGCCCTGCAGTTTGCTTCCTGTTTCTCAGAGTTCCCCTACGTGGCCAGCATCAAGATTAAACATTGTCAACTTGTGTTATATGCTGTTCCTTCTAAAGCTACTTAAAGTTATTTTAATCTCAGCTTTCACAAGAAAAAAGATAATACCTATGTCTCATAGTTTCAGGGGAGAAAAATTATAGATCTGAATATCAGACTGTAAGGAAAATAAGCATAAATTAAATTGTGGGGTTTTCCCTTCTAGTCTCAGGACTTCTAGAGCCTGACAATATTTTAAAGTTGGCACAGTATTTGATTTAGCAAAGATTGTTGATAACCATCTATTCACAATTGCATTAAAGTAATCAGAAGGACAAGCTGTAGTCTCACGTTTTCATGTGTCATCTATATATATGCATATGTGAATCAGAAATATAAGTAGTTTTTTTTCACAAGTTGAAGACAGATCTCTGATGGATGAACGCTCACTTTGTTTACTTAAGGAAGAGTGTCAGGGTCTGGACCAGAAGCCAGGAATTTTAGCAGACTGGGTCAGTGGGTATGAATTCCAGAAAATTTGAGAATCTTTTTTAAAGTTGCTCACAGTACTGTTAGAAGATGATACATGAAGCTGGAGTAAGACCTAGCTGAAGGCACCTTTTGGAGTTTGTGATTGTATTTATAATTTAGTCTGTCTTTTCAGTGAAGTAGAAAGATCTACGTGTCTCTCTCAGTTAAGGTGTCGGTCTTTGAGATCTAAGTAAGGTTAAAGTATTGGTTTATTGCACAGAATTGGCTTAGACATTCGTCTGAAAAAGTAGGAATTGGAAAACTGCTTCTGTTTTAAAGAGGCTGAGCCGAGACTAGCAAATTGAAATGTTCAGGTTGTTTTCATAGCACTTGAAGAAATGTAATTTAATTTACCCAGGTTGTGACAGAGTAAAGATTTTTTGTGGGAAAGGAAGAAATTATGTGACACATTTTTAGAAACCTCATAGGGGAAATCATGTTATTGTGGGTGTGTTTTTATTTTTATTTTTTTTTAACATAACACTCACATGTAAGGCTCCAAAATCTAATTTGGCTTGAGAAAAAAATTCAACTCAATTTAATTCACTATGAAATTAAGCAGATCAAAAAAATACTTGAGAAGAAAATTCTGAACTTTCTGTGACAGTGTGCATAATTTTAATAATAAAATTTTAGGCTGTTTACCTTGCAGTGAGACTGATTCTTCCTATTTCATTCAAGTGAAGGCAAATAATTGTTACTACTAGCTAGTTTCAGCTAGAAGAAGGTGTGTCAACAAGGGTTTGTGAAGACTGAAATATTGTGCACATCATCAGGGATGAGTCAGGGACAGAACCAGATTGAATGCCTTGCTGCCTCCTCACCTGTCTGGAAAATGAGATAGACGTTCCTTTTCTGCAGTCTTCTCCCAAGGCTTCTGATAGATAACTCCAGGTGCTTGTCAATGTGATTTTTTTTTTTTTTTTTTTGTTGAAAATACTAATATTTTGCTTTTTAAAGGCAAATTATAAACATCAAAATTAGTCTCTTCCAAAGCAAGGATTTATAAGAAAAGGCAAAGGTAATAATGGAATATCTCACCCTGCAGTATCTGCTGCTGCCGGTATTGTACCAGTGACTGGCAGGTGATTTACTGTGCTGTATTAGATGACATCTCTGCAGCAATATCTTCTTTCTGGAGTTTCTTCAATTATTCCTAATTCTCATTTCTGACAAGCTCACTTATTTTTCAGACAGATACTCTCTTTTCTGTCAATGCTCTTTGTCAATTTTTTCTTTCCATGAGTTTTACACACACTAGTTCAAATTCTGAAATAAGTTATAATTGATTATCTGCTCAGTATCAGATGGAATGGTGGAAAATAAATGAATTTTTAACATGAAGTTTGACTGCTCTCTATACAGATTAAAAAGTGTGCATTAGTGAATGTTGATCTGATGAGATTGTAGGGATTGAAGTTTACATTCCAAGCAGCACCAGCAAACTCGCTGAAAAAATAATGAGAATAAGCTATTATTCTGCACTCTGTTTAATGCTTAAGCAAATATCAACATTGTTTTCAAATGAAGTTTAAGATATCCTTTCCCCATAATTCATTCAGTATTTATAATTTCATGCTTTTTCTTAATAACATATTATTGATCAGTTGTCCTCTGCTTTGCTGAAGATGCATTATACTCCTTAGTGATTTGAGTGATGATCATACTTACCTCATTGTCATACGTGCACTTTTATTATTAGGTATTTAGATCATTTTCTGTCTTCCTCATAGCTAAACTAGTGTCTGGTGACTCATTTACTACATGTTTCCACTAATGCTAAACAAAATTGTTCTTTAATGAAGGGATAATTCTTCCACAAGTTAAGTCCTCTGACAGCCTGTTTGTCTAGCCGGCATTTCCCAGGTAATCTTTCCTGCGCTGAAGCGAAAGCATTTTGTTAGATGTGTTGTTTTATCAGTCTGTGATTAAAGATAGTGCTGAGCAATCAAATATGTGAAACCACTGAGTGTTTTTAAATGGCTGAAGCCTGAAACATCTGAAGCAAAACACTATTTTCTTACATTACCCTCTGTAAGAGCCAGGTGTGTGCTTTGTTATTTCCTCTTTTAAGCACCACCCATAATGGTATGACCAAGGCATTGTGTTCCAGCTGCTGATGCTGAAAGGTACTGCCTCCCCCTCAGTCCTCACAGGGCACCTGAGCTTTATTTCATTCTGACTTCACCTCTTGCCTGGGGTCATTGCTCAGATTATTCACTTCTCCAGGATTCTAACACCAAAACAAAAGGCAGAGAGTAACACTTAACCAGAAGTAATCCTTAAGGCTGTTTTCTGGGGCTCTGGGGTGTGTTGTCCTTCTGAGTATCCTCTGAGTTGTTATTGCCTTTCTTCCCTTGAGGGGATGGGGGGAGAGGGGCAGGGTGTAGGAAATGTGTGATAATCTAAAATTGTCCACTTAGCCTGCTTTTTCAACTCTAAATTAAAGTTGTTCTCTTAATGTTGGCTGCTGCTTCTGAGTAACAGCTCAAAGCTTAGTTTTATGATTAACTGATATTTTGGCAGCAAAGGAGGTCAATAGTTCAGCCTGTCCAGAGCTTAATATATGTACACAGTGGAATTGCTTGCTCCTACTTTACTGAAGTTCAGCACAAGGTGCTATTTTTCAGAAAAACATGAAGAATTGTAAAACAGTTGGAGAAAATAGTGCTGTGTGTTTTCATTTTTTGGTCTTGATAATGAAATGAGTAAGGACAGGGGAGAGGCTTTATAGCTCTAGCAGAGCCGAGAAAGGAAAAATATTTATCAATGATATTATTATTATTACTATTGTCATTACTGTTATTTCATTGTTGAAAATCTTTATCCATCATAGAGACCTGCTCTATTGGTAACAGCCAGCCTCAAGGCACCGGAGCAGGCGATGCTGGTTCGGTGATGCAATTCTGGCACATGAACACCTGCAGTTGGAGGCTTGGGAGCTGGGCTGCTTTCTGCTGCCTTTTCAAGTGCAGATTGTTTGTGTACAGTTTCTACATGTATTAATTTCATAAATAATATATGCAGAGTGCTAAATTCTCCTCTAGAGAGATACTGCTAAGTTAGATACTGCTAAGTTCTCCTCTAACAAGCAAAAAAAGCAAAGCATGGAAAAATATTGAAAGACAAAAGGAAGCTCAAGGGCTTTTGATCATTGTCTTGGGATTTATAACAGAGGGACCCCAGAGAGGTTGCCATTGAGAAAGTGACCCTGCACGGCCATCTGGAGAACTAAAATGATGTTATGGTTACATAAAAATTGTAAATTATTTTTAAAAGGAGTGGAGTGAGAGGGACATTGCAGTATAGAATCTGGATGTGCTTATGTGGGATGTGCACAGTACTACTTCACTCTGTGTTTTTTGCCTTTTACTCTTGCAGAGCCAAGGCAGAGAGCTTAAGGTGGGGACCTGGTTTTGCAGGCTTTGCAGTGTGCTGGACAAGAGAATTTAGGATATTGGAATATGAGGCAATGTGTTTATAAAATTGGGTAGAGTCAACATCATGGGAGGCTCCTGCAATATACAGCACTGAAGAGATAAGCTGTGCTCTTCATTAGCGTCCCTTGCAGTAGTGCAACTGCCATTGGTTAAAACTTTAAAACTAATAAAAATACAGATAAGTGCATAATTTTCAACTTTTTTTTTAAAATGGTAACAGAGAAATTTTTGCCTTTACAGAAAAAT